CTTCAGGAGTAATGCAAGCTCCAAGGTAAATATTTGGAGGTTGTACATCAAGAAACAAAGGGAAAAGCCTTTTGACTTTACAAACAACTCCTGATTCATGAAGGCAAAAAAAAAAAATCATAAAAAGGAGAATAAAAACTGCAGCAAGGCTTGATTTTCTAAAGAGAAGAATGTACAAATCAAGATAGAGACAACACAAGAACTTGTAGTAAGCCAAACTAAACGTTTTAACAGAAATCTTTTGAAAAGTTTTTTTTCCCCCCTCCCCATCCCTAAAGAAAGCACTCAAAAAGAAACAAGAAACTAATATTTTAGGGTGAAAAAAAGTACAATAAAGAGTTGCTTTTCCTACTTAAATAAGCAAAACCTGCAGCTGGTTTTCTAGACATCTATTGCTGCAGGCTCATCAGGTTCCAGTTTATAGGAGAATCGTCTGCAGCAAAGGCTATTGAGAGAAATGCCACACCTGTTGACCCGGGTCGGACTACATCTTCCCATTAGTCGTTCCAGCATTCTTCTAACAGATGTGCATGCTGTTTCCCCATCTGAGAAGCAGCACATGGAGTCCAAGCAGTTGATACCTGAACCTGCCTCAGCAAGCTGGAAGGAAGAAAGGAGAAAATAAAAAATAATCAGTACTCACAGATTCTAACAATGAAGACGTTATCAGAAAACACTTAGGAAAAGCAGGTTTTCTTAAAGTTAGAGTGCTGAATATTTTTCAACTTTTTAGGAGAACTACAATGATGAATAACATTACCATTTCCCTTCCTAAAGTCTATACACGCTACAATTTGATCTTCCCAAGGTTTGAATGCAGCCTCAGTGAGCGTATGGAAGTTGTTTAGCACCATCTCTGCTTAATGTTGGAAATAAGCTGGTTAGCATTGCTCTGTGTTACCACTATAACGAGTCTCTGGGGCAGAGCATCATGCAGTGTAAGCTTTGATGCCCTGATTAACCTCTGCAGTGGTACAACAATTTATATAAGCTGCAGGTCTGCCCTGTTTTAAAGGAATCTATCCAGCTTCAGACCAGGGCCACAGAATACAACACAGCAGCCTCAGCATAAGTTATAACTCTTCCTTAAGAAGTGTAGAATGCAACTTTCTATGATAATTTACATCATAATGCTACCGTAGATACCCTTGGCTTGGTAAGGAAAAAAAAAAAAGCACATCCATGATTTTGTGAATATCTTTTAACTAAATGCAAACAAGGCTGATGTTAGAAAGGTTTGTCAAGTTCATGCTGGCATGAAGAATAATTCAACATTAGCATAATAAATTTTCTACTGTTCATCCTTTGTAGGTGAGAAAAAGATCAAAACAAAATGAAAGAAGTTATACAGAGATGTGTGAGTTTAAGTTAAGTGTCATCTACTAGTGTGCTCCTCTGTATTATTTTTGCACACCAGTCAAACGCAGCCTGACTAAATCTAACTGAAATCTAGTACTGCTGGAGAGAGAATATCCCAAACTGACTTCAGTACCCTTTTCAAAAGGAACTAAAAATGTGGAGTGTGGGGATGCTTTTTAATTTAGTTTGTAACTCTCCATGAGAGCATCCTGTCAAACAAACGCTGAACATGCAGGCTAAATTTAAGCATCTATTATCCTCACCTCACCCTCAGACACCAGTGAATGAGGAAATCTGGGAGGAGGCATCTTAGTCTATGATAAGACACAGCTCACTTCAGAGCTTCCCCCGTTTTCACTGTGTGACCAAAGGTTGCTGACTGTTGTCTAAAGAGTTGGGTTTCCAACCTCCATTTTTTTCATGTCACCCACACTTGCCCAACACTGCAAGAAAAGCAAAGAACCTCAGAGTTTCCTATGGGAACGCTTTACTGTGAGTTGGAGACACTCCTTCCTAATCCATCTAAGCAGGTAACTGTACAGGTTACAGCTTCATAACAAAACAACTCCTATACTACAAAGAAGAGGCAGCTAACAGAAACAAGAGGCATTTAGAAATCCAAGAGAAAAATCACAACTCATAGGACAAAGGGTGAGCACACAGGCAGAACTGGTGTTTCCATGCATCATTTCCTAAGCCTGCCCCTTCTTCAGCTCTGTTCCACATTCCTCACGGTTCCTCCAGATCTTCCCATCACACACGCGATGCTTACAGCATTGTCAGTTAACAATTGCATGAACTTACAGAAAGCATCACAAACTGAAACCCTTGATTCAGTTGCTGCACCTCAGAGGCCATGAATACTTCTGACTAATTCACACTCATTTGGGAGGTCTTCTGGACACGACATGAACATTGACTGTGCCAGTGAACTTCTGTAAATACCCGAGAGACAGGAGCAGAAGCATCGCAACTGACAGGTCTAAAAGGGGTTTTGGTTAAAACAAAACACACTTCAGAGCTTGAGTCCCTCAACATTATTTGACAACCACCACATCTGGTCACAACTGTACTGTCACTGAAGATACCACAATTAGGAACAGCACCATTTGCAGCATTGCAGTACTAGCAAATATGACCTCCACAGCAACTTCACACTGCGCTCACAGTGTATCATACAAGAAATTACACAAAGCAGGAGGAATTCCTCTTAGCAGGTCAGAAAGTAAGTTCCCTGCTGCATATGCAGTGATCTTCATGGCTGTGTTCACAGCAATACAAAACAAACTCTCACATTCCTACACTTAAGATTTCAAAAAGAATATTTAGTCCATTCATTATCTTGAAGCAGACCAAGTAACACCTTTAAAGTTACTGCAAAAGGGCACATTACAGTGGATGTATGTAGGATCAGATGGACCAGATACTTTTTTTTCTCTAGAATCTGCTGACCTAAGAGCTAGAAGCCCTATATATATTCAAAGACTGGCAGAAAGAGGAACCAAAAGTAACCCAAACTAGCTTTTAGAGAGTGAACCTTCAGCTTTTAAACAGCTGGTGTCTCCCCTTCACTACCATCTCCTTTGTTCTTCTCAAGTTAGATACTCACAAAAAGCCAGGATCATACCTGAACCACGACTTATGAAAAAGTTAATATTATCCTGCTTTTAAAAATGGTAAATATGACCTTACAGAAGCCAAGAAACAACATTTATGTTTTATCAAACTCACAGTTAAGTGTAAAGTAATACTGGGACAGCATTAAGGACAACATAAAAATAAAATCAATTTTATGTGTAGATGAATTGTGTAGCACCACCTGGTGAACATGGATGTTTATATTTATATTGACTACCTGGAAGGACGATACTTATATTATGCTAAAGAGTACCTTTTTTCACTTTTTTCTCTGTTGCAGACAATTATGATCATAGTTTTATACCAAAGTAAAACCTGGCATGATAAGGCAGTAGAGCATAATGGTCTCTGAAGACCTGAAACAAACCCTCAGGAAACAAAAGGCAGAAGAGATAATGCTTTAAAAAAATTAATAAGTAGAGAGCAATATCTGATATTATTCATATTTGAGCTGCAAACAAAGTAAAGTATTTTCATAAGGTAAGATCTGGGATCACAATAAAAATAATAGTTTATATGATAATGGTCCATTTCATGTAAATAAACAAAAAAGCAACTGAAGCGCAGAATTAAAGAATGATTCAGCTTGTAAGGAAAAATCAAACCCACATACTATGATGCAAATTTTCTTGTGGATATCAAAAATATGGGTATTTTGGAGATGGCTCCATGACTGTCAATATATGATATATATTAAAAAAAAAATAAATATACACACACATTAGGGTAGAGTGGGAGTACTACCTAGTGAACGTAAGAACTGTCGGGTAGGCTAGATGGATCTAGGAGTTGCCTATTGTCCTCCCCTCTGTGCCTGCTTTCAGCAAAGTCACCTGCTGAGCTGACTGAACCCTTATCTTCTTCCATCTAAAAGGACAGAAAAGCAACAAATCTTATAAAAGCACCATGTTTGCATTGCTTTAAAAAGTTACCATTTTTATATGAACTTTCATTTTACAGATCTGTTCTTCAGAGAACAAGGCATATTTAACAAGGTAAAGAGGCAATTTTTTCAAGTTAATCAGTGGATCAAACACAGTTTATCAGTGCACAAGTATGAAGTGTTTGGTCTTTTTGTGCACCACAGACTACAAAAGGGGAAAACCCAATAAATTTGAAGCTTATTTTAAATTCTCAAGTTTTGGTTTCAGATTTTTGAGTTGTTTTTTTTCCCCCCCTTCTAACAGAAAGAAGTGACCATTTCAGTTTGTTTGTCTTATTACAGGGTATTCTATATGCCGCAAGACAGACATTTCAACTAAACATTTAATCACACTGAAATATACAGTTGGGACTTTGCTGAACAGGATATGCATTTAACCCTGTACATCAAGTTAAGAGCACTGCAGTGTATTTTCCTGAGCCCAGGTCCTACCTAGCTGTCAACATGTCTGATGCCACAGGCACATTTCAGGATGGTTATTAATACTCCACAATTAAGTTAAAACCTCCTACTGTCCTGGTTTTGCTAGAATAGAGTTCACTTTCTTTAACTCTTAATATACTGTATACCAAAATTCCAAATAATTAATTTAAAATTTTAAAATAAGATCTAAGAATATTGACATCTAACAATTTAACTGACTTAAATTTTCAACATTTTTCTAGTTTTTCTACTCTTCATCTCTTTGAACCAAGGAAACCTACAAATGCCAATTTTCTTATTTCACAGTTATTAGACAAAAATATCTTCAGGTAAATAAATATGTGCACTTTTGTGACTGAAGATAAATATGAAATAGTCTATTATTCTCTCATTTATTCCCTCTTCCTGTGATAGATTCTGTGGATTAACTAACAGACCAGCACCACACTATGCTAACACAATATACGAACCTGTAAAGGGAGATATTATCCTTGTTCAAAGTTTAGCATATTAAGATGTTCTGGTTTACTTCACCAGTGTGAATGCATGTTTGCACTTGAATAGTTTTCTTGGAAACTATACGTTCCTTAGAGAAAACATAGGCTGTAAAAGGAACAGAAACCTGTCTGTTCTCGACTTCTACACAGCTGGGCTGGATCAGATACGAAAGCTATTAGGAAGGGAATCCTATGAAACTGTAACTAAAGGAAAAAACACAGAGAAGTAATGAAGGCCATAAAGCCAGGACAAGGAGTTCTGGAGACAGCTAGAGAAAGCAGATCTGTACAGAGATGAAGGGAAAACAAGGCAATAGTAGACTCATGGGCCTGTGGATAGGGCAAGAACAGGGTCTTGGCTGTGCTAAGGCAAATGCTACAGTTTGAGAGTCCCAGATATAATGTTATGCACTGACAGCCTTCTCTATAAATAAAAAAAACTCTTTTGTGTTTTTTGTGGTTTACATTTCCCTAGTATTGGAAAGTCGTTATACACTGTCTAAAGGTAAAAACTCTACATACACAGTTAATCCCATCAGTAGAATTAAAGCATCTGTCCGAGCAACACTTTTCACACGTGGCTTAAGAATTCTGACAGTTCTGATAAAGCACAGAGACATGTACACATACATACACATACACAACTTTGTTTACAAAGAAAAAACCAAAATGAGATACAATGGGGCCCAGTTAGTACCCTAAGGTATGTATTTCACACGTTCCAGGACCAGGAGAGACAG